AAAAAGAGAGCACACTGACAGCAGAATAGGTGACAATGCCACAGTGGTTTAATCCACCAGATGTGATGCATATTAATTTGATCATATCCGAATGAGAGCGGATCATAGAGAGAACGAAACGGTTGGGGTCAATAATGTTGACCTCAGGTTATTCGATTCTAAGCAATAACAACATAAATCTGTTGTTGTTGGTTAGTTACCATACCGGAGAACAAGTGTACACTGAACTGCAATAAATTACTCTGTCGACGCTCTACTGATCTTGACCTGTGTCCAAGGGGTGGTGTGGAACTTGAATATGGATGAAATGGTGGTTATCGTGTTGTTCTCTCTTTCTCCACACACACACACACACACACACACACACACAACCATTCGAATTAGTATCACGCGTAAATCAAACGAAGCAGATTGCGGTACAAATGCGCAGACTATTTGCAATATTTCTGGACTACTATTGACCAAGTCTTTATAGTCACATATCAACTCTCCGGATCAGTAATCGGACACCCGATTCCAATGTATGACTGTGAGCATTTCGCACGACATTGGAGGATGCTGCCACATCCTAGATACTCGGATAAGACTAAAACACATTGGACTACTCATCCTATCCACGAATGCGTTCAGTCTGGCGCTTCATCCACACGAGAAACCGAAAGTGAAACAATCGATGATTTTTCCGACCGAAAACCGATTTCCATTCGCCTTGATCAGCAAACATTAACACTTCCGGATATGCCTATCACATCTCCCAGCCAAACAGTCACACCGATTCCGTTGGATTATTCTCGAGTAAATGATAGCTCCGCGGGTGGACTCACGGAGACCGGAGCAGGTGTGTGTGAAATACCCGAGGTGGAATTGGAAACTCCGAAAGCCGAGGCCGCCTGTGATTCGTGTGGGAAAATTGTGTACGAGTTCACTGAGTTCCAGTGCAACGTTCCACCGTCATCATCATCATCAGCAGCAGCAGCAAAAGCAGTACCGACCCTCACTAAATCATCGACGGATCAGGTGCGAAAAATGGGCACGAATCCAGCACGGTGTATTGATTCGTACCTGTCCATCGATGTGGCAACACTTCCCATACAGTGGAATGTATCTGAGAAACCCACAGAGGCCACGAAACTGGCGGAGACGAAAAACGTCCCATTAACACGTGTTTGCTCATCTGAGTCTGCATCCAAACCGAGTACACAGGAAATTGCCATCCAAACGGACAAATCATTTCCTGCCCCCCTGACGCAAATCCCTCCGCCCAATAGTTTGCCTCATCCACC